CTCGAACTCTAACTCTAATAACACTCATTTAAACTTCCGGCCCGAAAGTTTTTTTTTTTTTTTTCCTTTTTTCTTTTCTTGGAAAGAGGAGAATGTATATATCGCGCCTAGGTTCAAATACATATATATGGGTTGCCTCTTCATGCGTTCACGAGGACAAAGTGATGGAGAGGATTGTTTTGCTTGAGCTGGGAAGGGCTAGGTTGGTGGTGTTATTTTTGAGATATTTCTCTCTCTCTCTCTCTCTCTCTCTCTCTCTCTCTCGGAGGCAAGCAGCCAGGTAAGGCAACAGGCAACAGGCAAACAGGCAGGATGCTGCAGCTGTTCCTGCACGGGCGTTGCTCCCCCCCTCTCCGCCTTCCCCCGGAAGAAAGAAAAAGCAACAAGCCCGCAGAGGGCAGCAAGCAGTCGAAAACCTATTTACTATTTATTCTGTTCCTCAATTCTCTCCTTCACTTCTTTCACATCTTCGTACAAACATGGACAGGCACAGGCTCAATCGTTATGGCAATCCCGATTCCTCACCAGGCAAAATGCATTTTTAATGATGTCATTCGGCATTTGGTGGAGGAGGAGGAGGCGCCGAAGTGCGATCGATGTCAGCACCCGCCAAGCCGTGTGTAGTTTGTATGCCGTACAAAGTACGGAGTAACTAGTGGGTAGCGCTGAAGCAGCCTGCTTAGAATGTGGCCTTTTGGTGTAGTTTAGTGGCCTATTATTCTGCTAGTAGTGTATTCTGCTAGCAGTGGATGCTGCTGAAATTTTGAACTTAGCAAGCTGCTGTGTGGGCTTTTCTGAACAGTAACTTAAAATAATCATGACCTGGAAAAGTACCGCGCGGAGATTGAGTTTTTCACATTTAAGGAATGGAAGGCTGAGCTGGGTTTTGACCAGATGGAAGCGTATCATAATCATTGCGCCTTTGATATCTGTGAGAATCAAATATATAGAGCTCAGTTCATTGTAGTTGCTGTTTTGGAGGAAGTTCTGATATTCCTGCCTTGAGGTTTGCGGTCAAAAAACCTTGCCAGTATTGTTTCTCAGTTACTGGTGGACTCCCCTCTACCTCTCCGTTGTTTAAAATCATGTGCGGTGCTTTCCATGAAATGTTGATTAGCTCCTGTTTCTTGCATTCTGCCTCCCCCTTTCAACGTTGTAGACAGCTGTCAAATCCCATCCAAAATGCACCATCTAATATTTCAACTTCTCACCAACCAAGCCAAGAGTACTCTTTAAATTATGTATATAGAATAGCACCTGATATCCTAAATCAGCAATATTGCAGATTGAATGAAATATGATTCTGAATCTGAATTCAAAATAAATTTCTTAGCAGATGCTTGAACTAAGTTTGTGTCTAAAATTTTTATTTTTTTTTTATTTTTTTATTTATTTATTTATTATTTTTTTTGGATGAAAATACTTTATGGTTGAATATTGTGTAATCACAATTTCATTTGAGCAAATATCATAGATACTCTGGTAACAATCAATTTCATAAGAGGAAAAAAGTACAATCCATTGTGTACTAAGTACAGGAAGACAGAGGACATGAGCCTGGCCACAGAAAGGCAGAGTAGCTACTGTCTAAATGCTTCCCTGATTTTAAAAATTTGTTGAATGCTTAAGGCGCACCATGGGCGAAAGACGAGGAGCTCTGGGAGCCATGTAGGTGGGTCTGCGCCAATGGAATACGCTAAAAAACAAACAATGAGAGCCAGAAACCAACAGAACCAAGCAGCACCAGAGTTTTTAACGGCGTCGGAAAACTGAATGCAGAGCGCGCTTAAGATGAGTAGCAGTTGATAGTAAGGCCATACGTGAAAACGCTATTTGGAGGCATTGTCAGTGGACTGCTCCAGAGTAGATAAATGGTTCCACAGTCATGGACAAGCTCTTACTGCGGCGTATTTGGATCTCCAATGGAGATCCGTATAAATAGCTTTCCCGACAATGTTATCCCCGACGCAATCAATCAATTTTTCAAGGCTTCGCAGATAAAGCTCGTCACCGTGGATCGGCTCGAATTGATCGATGGGTGTAATCGGCGTCTGTTGGTTATAATAGTGGAGCATATAACGTTGGAAAAACAGGAGGACATCATCCGGGGACGCTGTTGGAGGGGGGAATTCGGGTTTGGGAGTTGGGACGCCTGCGCGGACAAGGGAAAGCATGTTGGCAGTTCCCAAACAGTTGGGCTTTGAAGCTAAATGTCAGTGAAGTAAACATTTAGATTGAAGAATACTCCGCTCATGTTGGGTTTGGTCGTCTGTGCTATTGGCAGGCCGATGGGTTATGCAGCGATATCTAGTTTAGTGGCAAGGAGAATGGAGTGGGGGAGCTGGTCACTCAAACACCCAAAGCTGGAAGGAGCTCAATTCCCACGCTCCAGTTTTCTCCGACGAAGACCTGGAGAACTTGGAGGTATACTCGTCGACGGAAGGAGCAACGCGGAACCCAGTACGGGGTCACTTTCCTTTGACGAATCCGTAGAGGTAGCGTCTACCGCGGTGTAGCGAGCCAGTAAAGAAGTCATACAAGCGCATGGAATAATGGGTG